GGAGCTTCTAATAGAGCTTTCTTATATGACAAATAGTGCATATATTCAAACCAGCCATTGTGGAATTACAGGTGTCTAAAATGGTGGACTAAGGTTGAATAAGCAGCGTGTATACGATGGAGTTGCAGGTTGAATAGAGAACATACAGTGGAGTTTCATCCAAGATTATCTTTCCCAATTGTGCATGTATATTTGGAGTACCTGGATTCTGTTCTTTTCTCCCTTTTTTATTGTAGGTGACTATTTATGAAACCCATATTCTGTATGATTTCTTTTTCAATCAAATAAAAAGTATCTAAGAATGGAATATTTTGTGTTTTTCATGGAATAAAATTGGGCCAATTTGCATTTGGTTCCAGGTTTTTAGTGTTCATTTTAGTTCTGCCTGCATCATATTAAACAGACCAGAAGTTTACAAAAAACGCAAACATTTAAGATGATAAGCACAGTTGTTTGAAATCCCTGTAAAAGAAGATATTCCTTTATCTTTCGGTCTGTGAGTAGCTTCACTCATTTCAGTGCAACTGCTTAAGTTAAATATGGTTTTGTGTTCTTTGCAGGACTAAAGTGGCTTATAGGCACAATTCTAAAAATTTCACTAATATTCCTGCTCTGTAGTTGCTGTTCTGTCTCCTCCCATATTGGCAAGAGTAAATGCATCTTCACTTAATCTTGGTTTGTATTTTCTCCGCTCCCCCCTGCTCCCGAATCACATGCACATACAGTACATCTTTGTCTACTGAAATGTTCCAGATCCAACTCAATCTAAAAGCTGTATATGCTTATGGTTAATATGTGGATATGCATTAATATAGATGCACACATATTAACTGGGTTTGTAATGTGTCTACAGTGGTTGCCCTTAAAATCTTTCCAGGTTTGTTGGAGATAAATATTTGACCTTATCTTAGGATTAAGAAATTGCAAGAGATACTATACATCTTGAGATCTGACAGTTGAGTTTTTTCAGATGGTAAGCAGGTTTTATGTGCAGCTGCTGTAGAGGGAAAACTACTGGTATTGCCTCTACTGTAAGCAAGCAACTAGGAAGTTCTTTCTTTGTGATTTTCAGTTGTGTGTTATTCACCTGTCGGTACTGGATTGTACAGTTCTGCTGTTTGATAGGTAATCAAACCTTCCCTATGTAATGTTGACAGCCCAGGCTTCACGACTAGTGGGACAGGAATCTCAGGAAATCGCAGCTGATCTCAGTCTTCAGACTTATTTGGCACTTCTGTTTCCTCTTGTGCATTTTCAAATACCTTACTCTATTCCTGCATTTTCATGTTAGGATTCTTCTGTGATTGGAGGGGTTAAAGAAAGACCTATGGACAATGTAAAGGTAATTTCTGCATTAGAAAGTTCACTTTGGGCTCTGAAATATATGCGGTAAAGAAATCCAGCATGCTGGAAACAAAAATAATAGTAAAGTGAAGAAGTTGTTGGGTAAGCAAAGTTACAGCTGAATGTCTGCTGGACTTTCAAGTAGTGGGTCTGGTCTAGGAAAGATATGTCCTGAGTGTGGAACCATTCTGGAATCAGAAATGACACTTTTAGTCCAATTGTCTGGTGATCTCCATAAGCAATCGCATTGTGGTTTTTCTGGAATGCAGTTTTTGAGGTTCGTTTATTTATTTAGAGTATAATAAAACCTGTAGATAACAAATGGTAAGCTTTTGTATTTTTCACTCTGGAAAAAAGTAAATTTCGAGTAATGCTGCTATATTTTCATGTACCATGCAGGATATTAAATTACAATGGTGACACTCTACAGGAGGAACCAGCATAGGTAGATGTGGTATTTGCACACAGCTTCCCTGTTTGTGTGTTCACATTTAAAAAATGTTAAATATTTAAGGGAAATTTTGCACACCAATTGTACTTCTAGGCATGCTCCCATTTATTGTATCTGTTTTGTTTCTACAGTCCCTTAGATTTAAAGATGCCTGAATATCAACAAGATTTGTACTATTGAGAGTTCATCTCTTTTGCTTCTTGGTATCCTGCCTTATGTCATTCTCTTTGATGTATAACATCCCATTTAGCTGCTATAGAGATGACAATGAGAACATGACCTCACTGTATTCCATATGGAGTGAGCAGGTGAGGATTGAGCAGTAACTGTTTCTGTGCTGATCTCTTCAGCAATTTTAAAAAGTGGAAGAGAGAACAAAACAGAAAATCTGAATTGTTTTCAAGAACGTTTTTAGAGCTTTCCATGCGATGCCAGTGGATTCCTAATGAGTAAAACATGTTAATGTGTTTTTGTAAGATTCCACTAGTAACAGAAAAAGGACACACTCTTTTCAGAAGTTACTTTGGCTTTTTTTCCTTTGAAAAGTTCCTGTGCCTGTCAGCCTTTCTGGAAGAAAGAAAGGCAAAGGAAGTCTAGTAGCAAGGAGGCTGATTTGGGAGGCAAGCATCCATTTACCTACCCTACTGTAAGCTTCCTGTGAGTTCTGGCTCAGTGCATATGTCCTTCAGTTCCTCATTTATGCTGTGAAGCTGAAACCTATGTTCCTTTGTGGTGGTGGTGGGGTAAGATTAGCTACACTAAAATGGTGGAGCTCTCAGATTCTACTGGGAGAGGGGCCTCGGAGAGCCAGAGATGTGAGTCACTTGGCCATAAGGTGTCCCTAGACCTAGGAAAAGTCTTGATACGGAGACAGGAATGCAGGACTGCCAGCTCCCATCTGTTCAATGTGGTTCGCTAAAGTCCCTTCTCCTACAGCTACACTTGATGTAGCAAGTCATAAAATGCCAAAAAGTTTAATATATAACATGACAGTCCTGAAAAAATGTTTTCACAAGCTGGTGTCATGTTGTTTTGCTCTTGCAGATAAGTATTTTTGGAACTTCCCTATCGCTGTTTTACAGCCTTTATTTGCTCTATTGTTATTTTTAGTCATCTTTTCTGAGAGTACCCTTTTACCATTTCAGCTTCCTATTTCTTCAAAGTTATAGCTGCTTAGTTAACTTAGCCAAAAAAACTTATCTCAGTAAAAGTTTCTTCTAGCAATAAATTAAAGCATTTTTTTCTCTAGCGATTTTATTTTGCTTCTCTTTTTATTGAGTTCTTTGTTTTGTTCAGTAAATGTTGACTTGGAGTTCCACAATACTGCAAACTGAATAAAATTGAAGTGTTTTGTCATCAGTTCAAGATAATGGCATCTGATGAGGTCATCCAGGCTATTATTTGCCTTAAGGCAGGATTAGTACATTTGGAGTCAGGGAAGAAAAAGGTTTAATTTTAAATTTCTAATTAATAAAAACATCCATAGAGCTTCCAGTTCTTCATACTGTCAGTGGCTTTGCCTAAACTATGGGACCTGGCCCTTTAGTGTCTCTTTGTCTCTTTGCGGGTTGCTTTGTCTGGGAGGGAAGCGCAGGTGTGCTGCCCTGAGCAGCACTGAAGCACACTCCGGTGGCATCTCCGATCTGGATGCTTGCAAGGAGTAGCGCAAGCCTGGTGCTGAGCACGCCTGCCTGGCTGCTCAGATGTAGCCATTGAAATTGGTGAGAATTATGTCACCGACGTAAGGAAATCTGAGTATGTCCTTTATTCTTTGCCGTTTTGAATGCAATCTATAAGCCTGCTAAAAATACCTGATTTCCCTCTGTTCAGAAGTGGGTACACTCTGGTTGCCATACTGTGGTTTCACGGCTGAGAATTTAATGATTAGGTGTCATGGCTGCTTCATGCTCAGGCATGAACGCTTACTGTTCAATTACAATTTTTCTACCTGTTTTTTATCTGTTTCCTGAGACTACCCCTAAAAAGCAAGGCTAGAAGCTGTCTGGTGACATTGTTGGGAAGGGAGAAGCACTTCTGTGAGTGGGAATTACATCAAGTAGGTTGTATTCCGGCAGTGTGACGGTGAAATCCCACCAGTCCCTGAATGCTAAAGAAATTTGTCTAGGTAGTGACGGTAATAGCTTTATTTCCTGGTTCTATAGTATATTCAATTTTTTCCCCCCTCAAAATATGTGGCAGAAATGACCTCTGTAGTTGCATAATGAAACCAAAGGACCCCTTGTCATTGCTGTCTTTGAAAGTGAAGTAATGTCCATCAACCCCCTTCCCCACCCCCGCTCCCCTTCTCTGTAGCTTGCTAAGGAAAGAAAACAGTCTGGTTGCGATGGAAGATTGATTCTTGTGCAACTGTTAAGATCTAGCAAAATGTGGTTTCCTAACCTTTGTCAGCTAAGCTTGTGGCCTTTCCTAAAAAGACTGTTGGCTGACAAATTTACAGCGATCTGGTCTGTACATAGAATTTGAATTCGGAAACTAATGGCTAAACCGTAAGGGGAAAATCTGTTCTGTTTATTGGAGAATTTACAAGTACCACCTTCCTACATATTATGTATTTTTCCTTCTTTCTCTTTTCTTCCATTAAGTGATTCCCTATATTTATCTAATTATATGAATTACCTGCAAGAGGTGTTATTTAAATATGTCCCAGTTTTCTTACTATGACAGCAGACATCAGAGGTTTGTTTTGTTTGTTTAAAATATCTGATTATCATTGTTTTCTTTCCCCTTTTACTGATGTCTGAAAGCTAAAAAGCGTTTACAATGCACTGAAAGGACTTAACATGGGAAAAAGTTGCATCGTTAATTATTTTGATATTTATTGGTTACAACAGCAATCAGTCATAAGACATGCAGTTTTGTTGGCGTGTCATATGTGTTTGTCCTCTGCATCGCACCAGCCTTTTTTCTGTAAAAGTGCTCCATTTTGGCAAAAGTTGGAAAATTGATTTTAAGTAGTTTCACGCTGCTTGCAGATGATTATTATTTACAGAGCTCTGCTGTAGCATTCTAAGATATTTTTAAGTACTCCATGTAATTGTTAAACAAGCACCTGTCCCATAAACTCTGTTGTCCAAAACAATTACCAAGTAATTTCTGATCCCAAAGGATTTTTAATTTAAAATGCTGTATGCACGATACAGAGTAGTAAAATGCTAGTTTTACAATGTGGTGCTCTTTGTTCTAGGAATGTTTACAAGGATTACCGTTTCCTTGAGCTAGCCTGTGACTCCCAAGAGGAGGTGGATAGCTGGAAGGCATCTCTGCTACGAGCCGGTGTCTATCCTGATAAATCCTCAGTAAGTTAAACAGCTCACTAGTTTTCCAGTAGCTGCTATGTTTGAGTCAGAAAAAACAAATCGTATCATCTGGGAAAACACGATGTCTGCAGATATCTCAAGAAATGGTAGCCTTTTCATCGTACTCTTCTGTGCTAATTTTGAAATATTCATAATGAAATATTTTAAGATCAATTTGTGCATCAAACCTCAATATTAAAAAAAAAAACCAACAAAAAAACCCAAAACAAAACCAAAACACAAACCAAACCTTCCGAAATGTTATTCATTGGATCTGTGTAGTAAAAACATTGAGCGATTTGGGGTTTCCTGAGCTTCGTTGTTTCTATTAATGTCTTCTAAGGTAAAGATGCGCTTTGAAGAGTTTATTCCCTCAAGCTCTGTATTACAGAACTGACAGAAGCATTCCAGGCAATCACGTATATTTATTTTACTGATTCACTGCATGTTTTTTGTGTATGAAACACATCCTAAACCTTTCCAAAGGCAGTTTTACTCAGCTAATCATCGTGTGGAGCAAATTGAACAGGATACAGTAAAAAAGCCTCTATTAATTTAACAGAAAAGACAGAAAGTCAGGAAACGGAATATGCCCAACTACCATTTCACATTTTTTGGACTTAGTTATTTTGATGTTTAATATCAAGTGAAGGTTTGAGGAGATGTATCCAGAGAGAAGGCTGACTAGCAAAAATACCTGTCATTTGAGCTTTTGAAAGTTTCTCTAATGCATGGTTCACCTTTCTTCAGTATGTCTGCTGGTCTGCTAGATTCCTTCAGTGGAAGGTCTGTTCTGAGAAATGATGCTTTGATTTTGACGGAATTTGTTCTTCTTCCTGCTTGTTTTCCATGGGAAGGCCAGGTCCCTTGAGTCCAGGGTCTTGTGCTGTCTTCTATTTCTTCATCTTTCTCTTCCTCCTATTTCCCTAATTCTTGTGACACCTCCATGGCTTCCAGTGTAATTCTGTCTGCATCTCCTCCAGCTGCTATTTACGCAAACAACCCTCAGCTTTCTCTCTTCATACCAAGTTCCAAGGCTACCATCAAAAGATAAATCAGAGAATCCTTGAACTGCTGGATTCTCCAATTATTATAGGAATAAACAGTGATGATAATGATGATGATGATTTTTAAAGAATAGTTGAAATACAAATTTAGCAGGAGACCTACCAGATATCTGATACTTTACCTTTTTTAAAAAAAAAAAATATTAAAAAATTTCAGTAACTCTTCAGTATGTTGCCTGTCCCAGTAGATCAGTTCCTATCTAAGACCATCAGAAGTCATTTTACAAGGATTAGTTAAGAGAGGTTACCTAATCAATTACTAGGAACAAAATACTGTAATTTTTTTTTTTTTTCCTTGCTCAGGTTTTAATAATGATGTCAAAAAAGCCTGTTGCTGCCTCTGGTTTAATCTTGTATTCTGTGACATGTCTATCATATTCATATATCTTTTACTTTATCTTTAAACAAGACAGACTAGTCGGATTTCTAAAATTCTCTTCTGTCTTCCTGTCTCTCCCTTCCCCCTAAAATTATTTTGTGTTTAAAATACGTTTATAAAGAATTCTTGGTTTTGTTTAAAGTTAGTCAAAGGAGTCTTAGATACAAGATGAGATACTTCCTTGAAAGACAAAAGTAGAAGGGAGTCAAAATTCAGTTCTCCTTTGAGCTGGAATTATCTATACATTAGAAAAAGAGTGAATATTATTGTTCCAAATCCCTGTAGCTTGAAATTCACCCAGTAGTCTATCAAGCTGTTCAGGAAAGACGCTTGATGCTATTCTAGTCTTGCAAAGCACTTTGTTCCTACAGGACTAGAGGTCCAAATGTGGACTGCAAGTCTGCTGTTGAAGTTTTGAATTTTGCAAAGCAAAAGCTCCAAGGCCCAGGGCACTTTAGAAGCTCCAGTGGAACTAAAATAAAAATCAGCAGCATTTCATTAAAATCCTGTGCATACTCCTCAGTTTCACACCTTCCTCTGACAACATAAAATAGTTTTAGAGACACCCCCCACCCCCCACTCCCCTCGTCTTTTATTCTCCTTCGAAGATTTAGAGACCGTGTTTTTATGTAAGAGACTGCCAGGAAATGGCAGCAACTTGCATTTACTTCAGCGCTTCCCCACAGCTTTGCGATCCTGGAGTTAAAAAGGCAAAGAGGTACCCTAGCCCCTTCCCAGACTGACCTTCTCGCTCTTTTTCATGTGCGAGTCACAGCTGGTAACTTTGAGTATCCAAGGCTTTGGCACCAGAAGTAGAAAAATTGCTGCTTAGAAATGAAAAATAGATTAATAGTGCTGTAAACCTGGAGTATTGCAGTGGTGAAACTGGCCTGCTTTCTGTAACTGCCAGCGCAGTGTGCACAGCCTGGAATTTGAAAGCTAAGCTGTGTGCTTTCATTAACAGTTCTGCTGCTTGCGTACAAGGACGCTGATGTAAAACCCAACGCAGTTGCCCCTAGCTGGGTTCCTTCTGTAGTGGCAGGAAAAGTAGGAACTTGTCACTGACTTAAGGAGATTTGTTCTGAATTCTCACCAGGGGCAAATCTCTCAACTAAGAATATTAATTTTTCTGTTGGTTTTTTAGTAGTGCTACTTAAAATTGTGTGATTACAGTGGTAATGGGGCTAAATACTTACTGCTGCTAATATGAAGTCTCTATTACTAATTTAATCTGTAAGCTAAGTCCATGGTTGCTGATTTTTAATTTTTCTTTTTGCCTAAATAAATCTCATTAATATATTAGAAATTAAAGGCCAGATATCACCCCATTCTTCCATTGCCTCGCTTCATTTTGCCTGCTTTCCCTGGCCCTCTGCACATGGGGATGCACACTCACGTTCATGTATTCACTCTCTTATTAACTATCTTTAATCACCCCTCAGTGTTCCTCTATGAGCCCCCAAATTCTTTTGCAGTTTGCCAAGTCACCTCCTTCCCCCGGGAGATTTGCTTTTGTCAGGACGTGGGCTTTGACAGCCACCCGGATAGCAATGAATCAGTGTTTTTATTTTTCCAACCCATATGCAAGTCAGCTTGCTTGATATAAATCACACTGTGGCCAATTCACTTTGAAACGGGATATCCATTTACCAGCTGACTTTACTGCTGGGTTTCTGGACTGATGCATCCAAAAACCTCCTTTTTTAAAAAATGACTACAACTTTGTGACTAACCTTTCCAGACTGTATTTCTCAACTGTAGGCTGGTGTTTATTTTGGCTGACTTCCCACTGTATAATATACACTGTTCATGCCAGCTCGTGGCAAAACTCACAATTAAAAAAAAAATAATAGCACAGATGTTTGTCGTAACTTGCTCTGCACACTCTACCTTGCTAGCACCGTCCATTCCTTTTCCCCTTTCCCCTAATGCCATCTCCTCCTTATTTTTATTACTAATCTAAAAGTTCAATATTTGCTTTTTAAAAAGCATGGGATCGCGAAACTTTCCATTCATTGGCATGTCGTAGGGAGTGGCTGTCACGCAAGGGTAAGCAGACATGTTTAGTGGGTTGCTTTGCGTACTGGAAGTTCAGTATTACCAACGCACGAAAATCCCTCTGGCTTCCATCCCATCCCTAGATCATTTCAGGCCTCATTTTCTTCTCCCTTGTGTTCGTGTCCACTGACTTCCCTGGAGCTGCTCCTGATTTACACTGAAGGAAGCAAAAGTGGAATCAGAATGTTTGTGTAGAGAGGAAATTTTGAAAAACAGCGTGAATTTACAACTTCGCTGAACGTTTTAAATCCTTTGCGAATGTCCTGTGCTCCCCTGGAAGCTGTCTAACTAAAGGCTTCCGTGAATGTTCGAGTCAGTTATTCATTTGGTTTGAGCTGTTTCCAGAACTGTACAAGTTAGACTGAATGCAAAATAAATGTATCTAATATTTCTTTTTTTCCCTCTTTCCTCCTTGCTGCATCCTGCAAAGGGGAACAACAGAGTAAGTTGTTTGTCCTTTTACAAAATCCTTTTGTATCCTGTCTGCAGGGTTTTGTCAGGAAAATTGGTTTCTCTTCTGGTTCACACAACTATTGCCTGCATACTCTTACCAGCAAACTCCTATTAAAAATGTGGGTGCAAAATTGTCTTCTAGAAAACTGTTAATGGATCTTTGTTTTAATTTTGAGGAAGGAGATGTGTTAAGTGTTGCTGAGTGTTGTTTTTTCAGGCGGTGCAGTAAGAATGATGCTATAAAACAGTATTGGGACCAAAGATTATGAAGGTATAGTAATAAAGACCTTCTGAGGAAAGGTTACTACAGTCTGATGAAACTCATTACAGCTGGATTTTTTGACCATACATCAAAGCTTGTATTAATGGGCAGTTATAAAAACCCAGCACTGAAGTCTTAAATAACAGATTTGCTGGTGTTGTTGGCTAAGCTGAACTAGATCAGTGTACTGGCTTTGAAGGTGCCTTAAAATGGATGGAGGAGGGTGGGGTCAACATTTGACTTGGCTTCTAGACCCTTGATGTGTTCCAGCTGGACAGCAGCAGAAGGGTGTGGGGTGTGGAGAGGGAGAACTGAAATATGCATGGTAGGTTTTTTTTGAAAGTAAGCAGCACATAAAAAGACAGTTTTGCTGATGTTGATCCGATAAACTAATAATCAAGCAGTTCCCAGGGTTAGTACTTTTTTATGCCATTTTTACTGAGCTTAAGAATGGAAATTGCTCATCTCGCGCTTTGGAATACGACGCAGAGAGAGTTTGTCATACCCTGGAAAGAAGTTATACAGCTTTTGTGCTTTTTTTTTTTTTTCCTCCCTTCCTGTTTTGGTATATTAACCCTTAGGATGATGTATCTGGAGCATCAAAAGATGCTTCATAGCAAATGTTGAAAGTAGCCCCTGAAATATTGCCTGTAGAATCTCATTGTGGGCTTGAAGCATTTCTGGGGTATTTGGGAAAGACCCAGGTGGGTTTTCAATGTTCTGAAGGTTGGGGAATTTTGTCTGCTTTTAATTTTTGTGTTTTTAACCAGTTTTTGACCACTTCTGTCTCCATAGTAGCTGGGCTCAGAAGCACCAAAAATCTTCTGTTTTGTTGGCCTGCCTGAGAAAAGGGGCTCTTAGTGTTGGGTGGGGAGGGGTTAAGAGAAGTGGTATATTGATGGCACGGAGAGAGGGACTTTGCATAGGAGGTGGTGTGAAATGTAAATGTTAACTGTGTACACTAAAATGTCGAGGTAACATTTATATTTCTTTACGATATGCTGACTTAAGGCTTTGCTGCTGCAGTGGATGCTGATCTGATCTCCAGAGGAGAGAGATTAGACTGTAGATGCTCTGTCAAGGGAAATGGGGTTAGATGGGGCACCGAAGAGCTCTTGGGGCTGGCAGAAACAGAGGCTGGAGGTCAGGAGTTGCATGGACCAGCTCTGTTCTCCAGAGATCTGAGCTATGGGCCACCCCAGGGAGGTCAGGACCAGTAGCATCTGACATAGAGTTAGTTGCTAGCATAAGGCAGGATACCCATAAGCAAGTACAAGAGAAACCTGTGAGTTGTGAGGATTGGTGGAGCTGTTAGCTCTCCTTTCACTCTGAGCAAAGGGCAGTTCTTGCTGTAGGTTCAGAAACGTTCTCCCTCTGGCCTGGGCTGTCAGCCAGAAGGTAACTCCAAAAGAAATCTCCAGAAAACCATCCTGATTTCCTTGTAAGGATTCTTGTATCCTCATCTGTGTCCCCCGCTGCCTTCTCTTTCACACAGGTGATTCATGCTGCATTCTGGAGGTTACATTATCCCAATTAGACAGATAGAATTAACCTGCAGCTGCTTGCAGGGGCTCAAACCCCACAAACATCTTGAGATTTCTGCACCTAGTGGCATGGAAAATGAAACGGGTAAACCTGAGAGGTGACAAGAGAGTTTTTGAGAAGGGGTCGGGAGAAGAGAGGAGTGGCAGATTGAGGATGATGATGGTTTCTCAAAGCTTCTTATAAGGCTTTATGCTGCAAAGCTGCGTAATCCTTCCTTACTGTCCTGGTACAGATTTACTGGGTAGCTAGCAGAGCTATAACAGTCCTACTAGTGCTGCCTGGTGTGGCATTCATACTGTGGATCATGTCGTATGTACATATGTAAAGATCCTGTACCCACCCACCCATTCAGATTGTAGCTGCTTTTATAACTCTGCCTTTAGCTTTGCACTCTTAGATTTAGAAAAGTAAAAATAAACATCGGAGTAATGAGTTCCTAAGAAAAAGGGGGGAAGTGAAGTGAAGAGGGTTTATAATTGTCAGCGGACTACTAATAATTTTTATTTTTACTTTTCATCGTTGCACAATCGTTAATGTAAGTGAGATTTCTCACATGGTTAAAGATAAATATATCTTCAGAAGCTTTGTTGGATAAAATCTGTGAAAGGGTTATGTAGAATGAGGTAATGGAGACCTACCTCATTCAGCAAGCACATGTTGGCAAGCCCCGTCTTACTAATATTAAAGCTGAACTCCACTGGGCAGCCTTGCACAGAGACGGGAAGAGCAGAGCATTGCGCAGAGCTGTGCAGAGCACTGTAGCTTCAGTCCAGGTGCTGAAGACACAGGAGCTGTGCATCTTCATCAGCCTCACTTAAAAAACAAAAAAATACCCCCAAAACAGCCCTCCAGAGGTTGCTGTTTGAAAACAACAGCAAAACCTATGACATACTCATGAAGTCCATTTTCATTATGCTTCTAACATTGTTAGGTTAAAAGATTACATAGATGCTGTGGCCTTATGAAATTTTGATTCCAAATCCCTAGGCACTTGAGCAGTAAAACAACAACAACAAAAAAGAAACCAAAAACCTGAAGTGACACTTTTTAATATCAAGCATTCACCTTTCCTTTGTCATCCTTAAGCCCTGAGTTAGCCAATTTCTGCTAAATTTGAAGGATCAAACGCTTTAATGCTGAGATCAGGCTTGAGAAAATTCAACTTGGAAAATGCAAATCTGATTAAATTTCTTTTTGTGGATAAAGTGACTACAGAGTTCTTATCTTCTAATTATTTTGCTTGCCTTTACAAGGCATGTAGAACTAAGTGCATAAATAATGTATTTGCATCTCAGTTAATGGAGTTGTCACAGTGTGGATAATACTGTGCATATGAACATTCACCGAATATAAAGTCAGGTAGTGTAATTTAGTTTGAATTTGCTCTCAAGAAAAACAGAATTCCTTTTGAAAGGAGAAGGAAAATACTCTCCCTGCCAGGTCAGTTTGCATGTTATTCCTTAAAATACTTCTTGGTGACATATTAATTGCTTAGATTCAAGTCTTTTTTTTTTTTTTTTTTTTTTGGGGGACAGATTCCAGATCAGCTACTTCATTAAGAAGACCAGATGTCCTACTGTCCCTTGAGACAGTCCTAGAAAATGGGAACTTAGTGAAGTCAGGATACTCATTCTACCTACGTATATGACTACAGCGCTCTCAGTTCATCTATTTCGTGCTTGGCTATAGACATGTAAATGCAGATACAGTGCCAGAAGCCATATGTATCTTTGCATTGTAATAAGGCTCTGATGCTTTCTTTTTAAATTCAGCCATGTTTCTGAAGGGTCTTCAATTACCTCCCCCTCCTAGACATAAACTCTGACTCATACTGGCTGTGGTGATGCTCTGAGTGCCCCAGCCAGATTCAAACTGAAAGTAAGTGGTTCTGCTCTGGGATTGCTAAAGTTCGTGTTCGATTTATGCTCCTAAACTAGAAAAAGTAAAGACTCATTTGGGTTTGCATAGTAGTAAGTTGAAAAGCAAACTGTGCTGATACATCATGGGGTAAAATGGTGTAGACAGAAGTGTAAACTGTGCATTTACTGGGTTTACTTCTTTTCTTTTTTTTTTTTTTTTAAACTAGTATATTTTAGAAAAGGAAGGCATTGAATTCTAGGAAAAGAAGAATTCACTTTGTTATGACTAAAATTGGCTTCAGGCCAACTGGGTTTAAAAATAACTTTTAAATGAAGAAATGTTAATTTTTATTTTTTTTTTTTAAGTGGAAAAATGCCATAATTTTATAGACAGTGTTTCAGTCATTGCTTTGAACAGATGAATCGAATTTTACAATGAAGTCACAGTGTAAAGGAGCAGACCAAGCGAGTGAGTGTGCATGCGCACACATGCTGGGTCAAAGGCAGTCCAAAATACGGGGAGGAAAGGAAATGGCAGGCTGTGTTTCAGTCCCTTTCTTGCTGCCTCACTGTTTCAAGGATGTGAAAACATGTTTCAGATAAAAACTATCTTCTTGTTCTCCTAAATATTTACTAGTTCAAAGACTAGATGCAACCTTGTTCCCCAAATGTTCCCCAAGAAACAGAGCAGCCCTGGTTTATATTCTTGTAAGAGTACAATAATTGCTGGCACGAGAGAGTTAAAAATGTACAGAGAAAAAGAGATTCGTAGTATTGCATCAGTTGCTCTACTGTAACAAGATGCAGGCTAACGGACTGAATGATTTCAAAACCAGTCTCGGTGAAGCTGGTAACTGCCTATCAGGGGTCGGGGGTTCAATAGCTGTCACAGGGTTTTACATTTCTGCTGTTAAATGGGACTGCTGAGATTAAGCAAACTCCAGGAAATTTAGAAATGAGCAAACGTTTCTGTAATGCATTCACGGTGGGCTTTTTACTGTGCTCTTGGCAAAGCATCTGCATATTGAAAATATTTTTAAATTCTTCATTCTTTATGGCGCAGCTAATTTTTGCACCACTTCCACTCTGATGAAGGATTTCCCTGAAGCTCTACAGAAAGGTGAAAACTCTGATTGTGAAGTTTCAGCTCACAGAGCGTGAGTGTCAGCCCTATTCTGGACATATAGTGAGATTTGCCCTGGGGAAGGCAGTGATGTAGGCCAGCCTCTAAGGACGCTTTCCCAGCCCTGGTCAATGAGCGCTGAGGGTTGGCTGGCAGAGAGAAAGGTGCTTCTGGACGGTGCTGCACCAGCCTCTGCCAGA